CCGCTCCGGTCATCATGGTCTGCGAGAAGCCGCTCGCCAGCTTCATCTGGCATCGCATCGGCTTGCGTTGACATCATCGTAACGCCGGGCGATGCGTCGAGCCGACGGCATCGAGCCGACGTGGCATCCTCGACAGCAGGTATCATGGTGCGGTGGCAGTCTCAAGAGGGCACTTGGGCGGCGATGCAGACGAGCGCAGCACAGAGGACACCGAGCAGGTCACGCGCAAGCACGCGAGCCGGGAACCAAAGAAAAAGTGATCTACGGCTAGCAGGTACGACAACGGCAAACTCAATGACTGGGTTAAAGTATGCCATGGAACCCTACAAAATCGAAGAATGGGGTTCTTTCTACGAGCCGGGAGGAAGATAAAGGCATTTGATTGGCCGATACCACGGGATGCAAACTTCGAAGTAAGCGCCTGTCCCAATGAAATCCCATCGTCTGGCCAAGCGATATTCCTGCAAACAAGCAATGTCCTGCGAGCAATAGTTGCGTGCCGACTCCTTCTTGCTTAGTCTGCTGGAGGCTATCACACAACACGCACGAATTAACCCTCTCCAGGCGGGTACAGTACCACGAAACGTTCCTACTACTAGTGCACTGTAATACTAGCAATACCTTGTTTCGCCACAATACTATGAATACAGTGTGAATAGGATCTCGGGTTTTATCACACATTTGCCTTCTGTGAGGTTGGGGACCATCAGGGGGACCATCGTACACGTACCATCGAGCACAACAACATATGTGTTGGAGTTCCTTCAGCATCGTGTGGTATTAATAGTGCTGGAGAAAATGAGCGAGCGAAGCATCGTCGGGACGAAAGTAAGCGCACTTGGTGGCATTTACTGCCACCAAGTAGGCCTCGCCATCACCTCCCTACATCGTCCACGGTAGGTATCAGATTCGAGTGCTTGGTTGCTGAACAGAGTGCGCACCACAGTGGCTCCTTTGGTGCTCTGGCGAGGCTGCAAATTTTCCCACGTCGACCGAGAATCGAATTACATAGGTGCCACTTCCGCAGACTAAATGTACTTGGACTATCGTCCCGCGTGGAGACGTCGGGAAAGAGCAAATTTAGCGCTGTACGATACATGTACCACAAAAGGCAATGTGCAACGGAAGTCGCGTGTCGGCTCAATCGGTTACTGGAGAGGTGCACAGTCGGTCGTGCAATGCGTACAACCACCGCACGTGCATCGCTTCCAGCAACAGAGAACGAAGCTACTCGGTGGTGTCGTGGCGACTTCGAGGCACGAGAAAGTCGCCACTTTGTGACAAGAGGCCGACCAGTGTCTTCCGCTCGAACACCGACGCAACTCCCCGCTGCTGCGCTCGCGATCCGGGCAGCTACTATCGCACGACTGCATGTCCGGCACTTGGCTCGTTGCGCTGTGGTGCCATCGCTTGACTCTCGGGCGCGAAGCACCTCGTGTCGCATACCCACGACGACCCACTATGCCGACAATGACTCGAACGACAATGAGATAACGCTCACGGATGCGCAGGGCCACCCTTTGCGCAGCACTTGGCCGCACATTTTTCGCGCGACTGAAGTCGACCAAGTTGTGGAGGCGGCGCATTATGAAGCGAAACGGTCAGCTTGATGATACTAGTATGTAAATTTTCGAATGAGTGCTGCTTTTGTCACATGTCCTTGTGCTACGATTGTACGCACGGGTCCTCAAGTAGCTTTTACGTGTTTAAACGTAATATCCACGTCTGCAGCGTTGTGCAACAAAGAACACAAGGAAGAAGCGCGATGAAACGGCTCAATTAGTAGGGTTAAACGTCAAATGCACCCGTCTGAACTACCACGTCTGCAGCGTCGACCAGCGCAAATATGGCGGTGTTGCGTTCGTGGTGTTGTCTGCGTAGAGAAGGGTGGCGAGCGTGTGGTGGGGGGCCATGCACGTGACCGCCTGGCCGTTCGTCGCATCAACAAAGTGGGCAAATCCGCGGTTCCAAAACCACGCAGCGAGATCACTCGAGGCGTCCGTAAGCATCTACGAGCAGGATAACCGTTTCAGCATGTGCAGCTTCAATCTAGTAGGTAATGAGTGGTCGTACATCAATGGTGGTGGCGTTAGGCGGCAGTGCACCGTGTTCCCAGAGGTGCAACAGCGCCGTGTCAATCGGCGCTGTAGTCGCGCTTTTTTTATGACCTAGCAAAAGCATATTCGCATGAGATATGCTAAGTAAGGGATAAGATCTGCACTACGAGCAAGTGATGCAAGACGGCGGACCGGCACGGCGGCGACTGGGTGAAGAGCGAGTCTTGCGAGCCAGCGGCGACGCCGCAGACAACCGTGCGCATGGGCAGACAGTCAAACCACGATCGGCGCGTCTGTTCGTCGTACGTCGCGTTGCTAGACGGACCACGAAGCATCTCAGCACGAACGAATCAAACTATTTGCATCACGTACCGGAGCAGCGATGGAATCATCGAGGGCGGCGGCGTCACGCTCACAAGTGCATTGTAGCATTCGCTAAAGCGGGGCTTTGATAGCGGCAGTCGTCTGTGTCGAGCACTAGCTCCAAGGCGGTGATATCGACGTCGGCTTCCAGTTCGTGGACGATTGCAACGGCACCGAGGTCGTCGGGATCACGCCAGATCAAACGAAGGCACATCATTGCCATGTGGAGGCAAGCGCCCCAAAATGCCCGCCGGTGACTCGTTGGTGCGCTCTTTACGAACAACGTTGCTTCCATAGCCAAAGTTGAAAAATTAGTCGAGGTGAACTTGAGCCACACACCGTCAGGCTATACAACCAGCTATACAACCAGCATATGCAGACGCATGCGTTGCAGGCAATGCTTCTACGGTTTATAGACCTTTTGACAGAAAGAAACGAACTTGAAGTTGGGTTCAACACGTCGAAAAGAAAAACAAGCTGTAACGTTAAAGACACGCGCCCGCCAGCCTCGCTTCGTCCCAAAAATCGACGGCCAGATCTTTTTCATTCTACTGTACTAGTAGTATGTATGTACGGATACTTATGACCTTGGTAATAGTTCGCCTGCAGATAATACGCTTTGTGGATGTGTCGCCGCATCGATTAGTCTACTGTACGCGACAGCATTACAATAGTTTTCTATTCTGTGTTGACTGCTCCCGGAAACGACGAGCCAAACAGAAGCTATCACGGGGCACGAGAAAGAGACTGCTGCGTTCTCGCGATTACTGTACAATGAAACGGTTGTAACCGTTCCGGTAACAGTAGCGTTCGAGATTCCAGGCGTCTCTTGGTCTTAATTGGCATGAACTATGCATCGTCGCCAACAACGTTGCAGATCTTCATGATGAGTCTCGCTCCCTGCAGTTGGGTTAGAAATGCAGAGATTTCCAATAACCTGTGTGGCGACAGCGGATCCGTTCGCAGCCACGATTTTGCACACAAACACTGGTACATTGTGGCAAAAACTCGCCTCTCGGGCCAGCCACTGACGAGTGCAATCAAAACGGTTGCCTATTGCCCCAACGGCATCCCTCTCTCAAGAAGCGAGAAGGAAAGACCCTGTGACATGTAGCTTTGGAGTTCTTGCGTGGACGTTCTAAAGAATATTTTGTGTGTCTCTTCGATTGAATGGTCATCGACCAACGACGTTGCAGAGCCATTGATGTCTCTTGCAAGAGCTGTGGGAGTGCGACAGCGCGTTTCGAAATTCTTTTTTAGACGGAAACGAGGTACTAGTAGCTAGAGATTGTTGAGAAGGCCAGCGCGAACCGATCGTCAGCAACACCTGCAAAATTGGCGTTTCCGGTCGCCACAGTTGTTGAACTGAGTTATATTACATGCAATAATAAAGATATGGTGGACTTCCTAATGCGCTCGTGAGGCGTGGCCGGTGCGTCAAGCGAGGAGCGTTGGCGAGGGACCAGGTAGCGTGCACACCAAGGGTCGTCTCAACGAGCGACCAGCGACGCGTCAAGCGATGGCACCACACGCGCGACGAGCCAAGTGCCGGACATGCAGTCGTGCGATATAATAGTAGCTGTCCGGATCGCGAGCGTAGCAGCGGGAAGTTGCGTCAGCGTCGAGCGGAAGACACTGTTGTTTTTTTGCGTTCAAGCCAAAGTCAATACCAGTCTCAAGCACGTAGAATCGACCAGAGAGCACGAATGAAGGACTTGTGGGTTGAGTACGGCGCGGCGACGTCGTCGTAGAGAAAGCCAGCGACCGACGACGGGAGTTGCATTTGCAAAATGCCCCGCATCGGTCCATACGCGCACCAGATCGCTCGGACGTATGTAAGGCAGTGTCGAGCATCGGGGCCGAGAAGGTGCAAGCTGGCTCGGACGCCCACGGCTTTCAGCGCGATCCGGTACACGAAATCACCGTAGCGTGGAAGGACGTGAGCTGGCTGCCGTAGAGGTACAAATGAGGCCGCTCGGCCCGGGTGCTCGTAGAAGGTTTCTGGGACGCCAAGGTGTTGCACTGGAAGCACACGCCAGTCAAATTTCGGTCGCTGTCGGAAGCCGGTCAATCGGACGTCCATAGTCGCCGCGAGGACGACACGTGGTCCAAACTTGGCGAGCCATGGCGGGGCACTGGTTGGGCGCACATCATGATCGGCAGGCGAGATGAGCTGGGAGCATCGAACGAGAGCGGTCGCGAGCAGCCGGATCCAACGGCGGGTTGGCTGCAGCTCTGGAAAAAGTCCTGGTTCGGTCGCCACTGTGCACAAGTACTACACAATTTGTGTTTGTTGAAGTGAGTCTTTCTAGATAAATTTTAAGCTGAACTGTTTTTGGAGGTGCAAGTATTACACACTTTTCACATGGCTTCGTCGCTCATGGAGAAAAAAGGGTCTGCATTACGCACCTCGCGTGAGGCGTGGCGGGTTGCTTAGCGGAGATCGTAAACTAGAATGCTAGGCTCTGCCGACCAGTCGTTGGTTTCACTGAGCCGCCTTCTCTTGAAAAGACTCCTTGCAGGCGCGAAACACCCAGTAATGCAAAGCGACGACCGGAAACATGGCGAGAGAGGGATGCCGTTGGGGCAATGGGCAACCGCGTTGACTGCACTCGTCAGTGGCTGGCCATAGATGCGTCTTCGGCACAGTGTACAGTACCTAAAATATATTTTTATATGCGTGCAAAAACGTGGCTGCGAACGGATCCGCTGTCGCCACACAGGTTATTGGAAATCTCTGCATTTCTAACCCAACTGCAGGGAGCGAGACTCACCATGAGGATCTGCAACGTTGTTGGCGACGATGCATAGTTCATGCCAATCAAGACCAAGAGACGCCTGGAATCTCGAACGCTACTGTTACCGGAACGGTTACAACCGTTTCATTGTACAGTAATCGCGAGAACGCAGCAGTCTCTTTCTCGTGCCCCGTGATGGCCAACACAGTATAGAAAATTAATGTATTGTAAAGGGTTTTGCAGTTTCGCAGTGGTGAACTTGTAAAGGGTTTCGGATATGTACTTTCGATTTGGAGCGCCATGGAGACCGACCCTTTTCTGCCGAGAGGTCCTCTCTCAAACCAAGTCCAAGCCGACGAAGCGTGTGACCACCAACTATCGCCGCCGTGTGGGTATCGACCCGACATTGACGGTCTCCGCGCGCTCGCGATCGTGTCCGTCCTCGTCTTCCACGCGTACCCGTCGCTCCTCCCCGGCGGCTTCACCGGCATCAACATCTTCTTTGTCATCTCTGGCTTTCTCGTCTCGGACGTCCTCTTCAAGCAGCACGAAGAGTGCAACTTTACGTACGCGAGCTTCTACGAGCGCCGCGTCCGCCGCGTCGCGCCGACGCTCATCATTGTTCTATTGACGACGCTATGCCTTGGGTCAATCTTTCTAAAGGGTGCCTTTCTCAAGCACACGGCCGCGACATTGTTGACCACCAACGTGCAAGTGCTCTCGCTTGAGAGGGCGTACTCCAAGTACGGCAGCAACCCGGTGCTGCATCTCTGGTCGCTTGGTGTCGGGGGGCTCTTTTACATTTTCTGGCCATTCTTTTACGTCTTCGTCATGAAGCAGCCGTACAAGCGCGCTGTCCAGCTCCAGATCGCATTCTCGGCGCTCAGCTTCGTCATCAACATCATTGCGTCCGTCGGAAACCACGACAACAAGACGGTGCTCTACTTGCCGCTGGGTCGTTTCTGGCAACTGTCCATGGGCGGCCTCCTCTCGTATGTGATGACTGCACAGGCCACAGCGTCTTTGCCGCCGCTGACGGATTCATCCCGTTTTGGTGGACGGATGTCTGCAGCCGGACTGTGCCTCGTCGTCACCGGATTTGCATTCATTGACGCTCAAAGTGCCTTTCCCGGCGTTTGGGCACTTCTTCCTACCGTCGGCGCGACCTTGCTCATTGCCGCGGGGCCCCAAGCGCCGTTCAACCACTACGTTCTGAGCAACGACGTGCTTGTGGACATTGGCAAGATCAGCTATGGCGTCTACCTCTGGCACTGGCCACTCCTTATCATTTCCAACCGCCAATACCCGCCAACGTTGAGCCGTCCGTTCACCATGGAGCCGTGGTGCATGCTTCAGGTTTCAGTCGCCTTGAGCATCATCACGTACGAGTTGGTTGAACAACCACTGCGCTGGGGCAAGCCCAAGTGGATCACACCCGCGCTCGTGCTTTGCGTGCTGGGGCTTGTCGCGCTTGCGGCGACTTTGCGCATGTTGTGATCTGTGGCGTCTTTCGTCTGTATAAAGATTGCAATCCATTTCATATCATGTTGTGATCTTGACGTTTAAACGCATGGTTTTAAACAGCCCCTTCAACAAAAAGATGTATAGATGTGTAAACTGGATCTTGTTTGATAGTCTCGTGAGTGCGTCAAATGTCTTGACGCGCAGAATGAAAACGAGCCGGAATCAAGCATCCATGTACCCAGTGGATTCGACCTAACGGACGAGAAACTGAGTGCCGACGCAATGAGATTGTCGTTGAGGATGACTGTGAACCCACGCGTCTGGCACCCTATACAAATATCGTTGGAGGCCATTCCAATATAAACCGCTACAAAACTGCAGGAGAAGCAAACGAGAAATGGCGCGAACAGCTTAATAGGGGTCGGGGTGGCATCTATTATTGCCCAATGGCACCACGAAAAACCGACGCAACGGCGGCGATTCTAGACCAGCGGTTCGCGATACTTACAACAGCTCCAGCATGCACCCACAACCCGAAGCATCGATGGATCCGCGGACCAAGCACAGCAGACCGACGACAGCGATGCCGACAAGGACGGCCAAGTTGAAGCTACGCCACCACGTCAGACAAGGCAATATGTACGTGGAGATGTGTACAGCAAGGTGCAGACGATGATGGTGGTCGGGAAGAAGTGCACGAGCAGCAGCATAAAGACTGCAGTTCCGATCGCGAGGCCCGAGAGCGCGACCAGCAACCCGAGCGCGTCTCTGGCATACGCCGCGAGCTCTCGAACAGATCTACGATACCTCGGAGAACATTGCCGCGCCACGTGGCTGCCGAAGATGGGGTTTACGAGAAAGACCAGTGCGAACGACCAGTCTCAGTAGCGTCTGCAGCCGGTGCCAGTGGTGTGGCTGGAAGGGATGCGATCAACGTGGCATTTGTCGCAGCATTCGGTGTCATTCTGACGCGGTTCAATTTCTGGTACGACCCTTTGTTTAGCATGTCGTTCTGAGCGTGTTTTGACAGGTAGCTTGTACAAGTACTAGTGCGGCAGTCATCGTCACGTCGTGCTGCTGCCAACTTGAAGGTCGCCGCCGCGGCGGCGTGGAGTCTGCCAGACTCGAATCCCGTCACGCTCGGCTGGAATCTGCTCTGGTACAATTGTATGTCCACTACCCGCCATATAGTATGTCGGTAGAAGGATCAACTTGGTACTAGTACCATTGCGCTCCTCAGTGTCCTTGTCAACATTGATTACGACTAACTCGGAGTCTCTCTCGATGTGTCGTTGCATCATGGCTACATGTCCTCATGCTGCCTGGCAGGCCATGTACGGTCGTCGCCGGCAACGTCATCGACTGGTGGTGCGCGCTCACTCGGACCCTCACGACATCGCTTGGGTCCATCTGCCTTGATCTGCTTGTCGTCGCGGTCCTTGCGACCTTGCGCAAGGTATATTTCTTGTATCCTAATGCATTGTGTAGTGTAGTCCCTGAGAAAGAATGGTGAAGCGGAAAACGACGCGGGGACCGCAGGATCACGGACGCGCAGGTTGGCGATTTGCTATTGAAACGCTGACCGATATGGACGATGTTGGCAATGCATACATTGTTGTTAGTTGTACACATATTGAAGTATCGCAATGGCTTTTGTAGGCAGCCATGTGCTCCCATCCGTGGTCTTTCTGCACCCGCCTTCTCCAACGTCTGCGATCGAACGCCGCTGGGATGAATGGTCTCGTATCGCGTGGCGATGTGGTGATCCGAGTACATCTGGTGCAGTATCTACGTAGATCAAACCATCCCACCAAAAGTCATAATCCAAGTAAGCCCATACCGAGGCGCCCAAAAACGTGGAAACCAGACACGATGACGATCTCGTCGCCGACGACTTGTGTCGTCTTTGTCGCAGATCTGGTGTCCGACAAAATCTGGCGTATGCAGTACCCATCATCGCCCGTGCGGTTACAGAGAAGACTCGTCGGGTGATGGTCACGCTGCGTCATCGTCGGGCGCGCCCCAGTTAGGTGCTGCATCGAGGCACGTTGCGGCAACTGTGCAAGATTCCACGAGGTCGAAGAGACTTCGCACTTGGCGCTCGCGTTTTGGCGCCAAACGTCGGAAATAGGCAATACCCCGATCCTTTTACGTTGCGCGCCATTTTGCTTTGCGAATGGATTCAGGTTTCAGATATGCATGCGCGACTGTCGGATGCTATTCTTGTAGAAGTTGAAGATATGTTTACCCTAACCCCGTGGTCTTTCCCACGAAATGCTAAGAATATGGGCACTTGAACCGCCCACCGAAAACTACTCTGCAAGGAGAGCATCCAGTGTCTAATTTGCCTTGCCTCGAACACCATGCAACTCGTTTGCGCTGCGACGGTGGCGCTCATGCTGGCGACGTCCGCGACCGCTGCTACCTGCACGACGGACCAAGATGCGAAGATCAAGAATTTCTTGGCGGCCAACGTCTCGACCTCGTGCGCGGCGAGTAGCATGTGGTGGAGCTCGATGACGTTCGCGGAAGGACTCGAGGACGGACAATACAACCTGTGCCAGTCGCCATGCCAGGGCGACCTGCAGAACATCACCGACAACCTCCCATTCTGCGCCGATGAGGCCGGCACATATTCCAAAGGTCGTCCAACAAAACCAACTCTGCGACGACATGACGCGCCCCACGAGCAACGGCGACGCATGCACATCAGCGGATTTGATCTTGGCAGATGCAGTCTTGCGCCGTACACCAGTG